TGACTGTCATGCTAGGACCGGGCATGCTGCTCCCTTAGCTCTGATGAAGGCTGCTGGGTGCCCGAGCAGTGACTCCGGTGGATGCCACTGTGGGATGTGGTTGTCCTGCATTTTCCTCAGCCACCACCTTGGTGCTCAGATTTCTTGTGGAACATAATGAGTTCTGCTTCAGCCACATCCAACATTGTGGGTTTCCTGGGCCTCCTCCCCTCTTGCCTCTTCTGCCCTGGTTCCTGTTTAAGTTCCTTGGGAGTTCCCTTGAGCTGTTTGCCATTTCCTCTGTGATTGCTGAGTTTTGCAACTTCCTCATCCTTGGCTAACCCTCTGAGGTCACAGAGAATGTCCTAAGTGTCTGCTTCCGGAAGGCACTCGCAGGAGCCTGAGTCAGGTCCCTGATGCAGTCCAGGGTGTCATTCTTCTAGGTTATTCCCAGCGCCTCGCTTGGCCTCAGTTTCAGCCAAATTCTGGGCCGAGGGCCTCCTCACAGCGCTGTTATGATGTTTATATCCAAGAGGTGGGTTTTGGAGGGCGATCCACCACTCTATTGTTGTGGTGAAGATCACCAATAAAAAGGAGATAAGAAGAATTATGATAAAAAATAAGCAAAATCCAGGTGTGGGCATGTGGCCTAGAAGGGAAGCCGCTGGTTGGAATACCTGCACCCCACACTGGAGTGCCTGGATCCAGTCCCTGCTCCACCCCTGACTCCAGCTTCCTGCTAAAGTGATGGCCTAAGTACCTGCCTCCCTGCCCACCCATGTGGGAGGTGCTGGAATGAACACCTGGCTTCTGGCTACAGCCTAGCCCAGCCTTGCCCATTGATGACATTTGAGAAATGAACCAGCAGATGGGAGATCTGTCTCTCAAATAATCCCATTCATTTTTTAAAATATTTATTTATTTTTATTACGAAGTCAGAGTTATACAGAGAGGAGAAGAAACAGAGAGGAAGATCTTCCATCCAATGATTCACTCCCCAAGTGACCGCAACGGCCGGTGCTGTGGTGATCTAGAGCCAGGAGTCAGAAACTTTCTCCAGGTCTCCCACATGCAGGTCCAGGATCCCAAGGCCTTGGGCCATCCTTGACTGCTTTCCCAGGCCACAAGCAAGGTGCTGGATGGCAAGTGGAGCTGCTGGGATTAGAACTGGCACCCATATGGGATTTTAGCATGTTCAAGGCAAGGACTTTAGTTGCTAGGCCACACCGTAGGGCCCAATCCCATTCAGTTTTAAAATTTTCTAATAGGGTACAGTGTGGTGGCCGGGATCCCATATGGGTGCCAGTTCTAACTCCAGAAGCACTGCTTCCGCTCCAGCTCTCTGCTCGTGCCCTGGGAAAGCAAACAAGGATGGTCTAAAGTCTTTGGACCCTACACCTGCATGGGAGACCTGGAGGAGGCTCCTGGCTTCAGATCAGCTCAGCTCTGGCTGTCGCGGCTACTTGGGGAGTTAATCAATAGATGGAAGATCTTCCTCTCTGTCTCTCCTCCTCTCTATATATCCAACTTTCCAATAAAGATAAATAAATGTTTGAAAAGGAAAATAAATAAAAACATAAAAATATGAATAAATATTCCTCTCCCCAGAGTGGCCTACTGAAGTAGGAAGCAAAGATCAATGCAAACATGATTCTTGGGCCTGGCACGGTAGAGGACTGCCCAAAGCCTTGGGACCTGACCCCTGTGGGAGGCCTAGGAAACTCCTGACTCCTGGTTTTGGACTTATTCAGCTTCGGCTGATGCAGGCACTTGGGGAATGAGTTGGTAGATGGAAGATCTTTCTCTCTGGCTCTTCTTCTATCTGCCTTTCCAATAAAAATAAATAAATCTTTAAAAACCAAACATGATTGAGGGCCCGGCGGTGTGGCCTAGCGGCTTAAGCCCTCGCCTTGAAAGCGCCAGGATCCCATATGGGCGCCGGTTCTAATACCAGCAGCTCCACTTCCCATCCAGCTCCCTGCTTGTGGCCTGGGAAAGCAGTCGAGGGCGGCCCAAAACCTTGGGACCCTGCACCCATGTGGGAGAACCGGAAGAAGTTCCTGGATCCTGGTTTTGGATCAGCATAGCATCGGCTGTTGCGCTCACTTGGGGAGTGAATCAGTGGCTGGAAGATCTTCCTTTCTGTCTCTCCTCCTCTCTGTATATCTGACTTTCCAATAAATAAATAAATCTTTAAAAAAAAAAAACATGATTGTTACACAGACATTCAGGGTAATAACTGGAACCTGTCCAGAGCTGGTGAGAAAAGTACTGACACTGTCATTGAAGCAGTCTTTCAATAAAGCTGTTGCAAAGCCAAAAAAAAAAAAAGTCACTAATAATTGAAATCTCGTCAGGTACGAAATATTGATTGGCACAGCAACTCAGGAGGGGTCTTGGAAGAGGAGCTGGCCATCCATGTTTAGCGCTTGTGCTACACACTGGCAGGTTTTTCAAAGGCGCTTATTTTGTTGCAAAGGCAGATCACAAAATTTCTCATATCCAACCTGTACCATGGCACCCAAGCACATCTGGAGGATGGGGAAATTTACCTGCCAGAGAAAATCTTCAATGTGCATGAAACCATGTTGGTTTTACTGCTTTCTCAGACCACAGGCAGGGAGCTGGATGGAAGTAGAGCAACTGGGACATGAACCAGTGCCCATATGGGATTCTGTTGCATATACGGTAAGGATTTAGACTCTAGGCCACCGTGCTGAGCACCCCCCAAAACTTTGTTTTTTAAATAAAAATAATGGGGCTGATGCTATTGCATGGCAAGTTAAGCTACCACCTGCAATGCTGGCATCCCATATGAGCACTTGTTCCAGTCCCAGCTGCTCCACTTGGGCCCCCGCAGCCTTGTGGGAGACCCAGAAGCTCCTGTTTCATTCTGGACCAGTCCTGGTCATTGTGGCCTGCGGGGAATGAAGCAGTGGATGGAAAATCTTCCCATATATATATAGATCTTTATATATATATATATCTTTATATATAAATTATATATTATATATAATTATAAAATATAAAATAAAAATTATATTTATATATATAAATCTTTATATATATATATATATATATAGCAGCTTTAGAATCAAGCACAGAATTCCATAGCATACATTTCCACAAAATGCTGAGCTCCCTCATTTGTTCTGGTGACACTGCAGGCTCCTTTCCTCCAAGGATCTCCGCCCTTTCCATCAAGCAGCCCCAGGATCTGTCTGTCCCAGACTTAGGTCTGGAAGTTGAATCGGACTGTAACTCTCTCTGATGGGGACTTGTGCCATATTTCGACCATCTGATGACAGGACCTCCCTATTGCTCTGGACAGTCCATGTGCCCACCTTGTCAGGTGACATAAGCACCGTCTCTCAGCCTCTGCTGCTCAGGGATCTCGCGTCAGCACTGCAGCCAGGGACCCCATCTCAGGGGCTCCAAACCATTGTGCCTGTATCCAAGCCATGGAGCTTCACAAGGACATGACATGCGTTCTCCCCTCGGCAAAACCCAGGGGGATTCAAAGTGGTCACAGGAAATTCCTGTTATCTTTCCTCCATCCCATATTTCCATGAACCTTCTGATGTTCCCTCATGTTTCTCAATGCTGTAGTGACCAGGATGTCCTCTGGGTCCTCTCAGTGGACACAGAAGGTATTCAGGGAGCCTAAGACAGATAGATGAAAACTTTTCTGTTCAGAATTTTGTCCTCTGTGTCCTGCTAGTGAATTTCTCACATCTCAACCTCATCAGATGTGGGCCCATTGATCCAATTTCTGGTTACTTGGTCCAGTACTCCTTTGGAGCTACTTGTAAATGCATGAGGATTAATGCTTTAAGATCAGACTGTGCCACATGCATGCACATCAATGTATTTGCCCAGTTCTGTTACCTTCCATCTTTATGGGGAAAACATGAAGAATCTGTTCCACAAATATTCCCCAGATTTCTGCCTCTGCCAGCCACGTCTTGTGATCATTTCCACATACTCCCTTACGGGTCAGATGTCGCACTTGCCCCTTAGAAGCTCTGAGATCAGGGCCAGCGCTATGACTCGGTAGCTAAAACCTCACCTTGCACACACCGGAATCCCATATGGGTACTGGTTCATGTGCCAGATGCTCTAATTCCTATCCAGCTCTCTGCTTGTGCCTTGGGAAAGCAGTGGAGGACGGCCCAAAGCCTTGACACTCTTTACCTACTTGGGAGATCCGGAAGAAGCTCCTGGCTCCTGACTTTGGATTGGCTTAGCACTTGTAGAGTGAACCAGTGGATGGAAGATCTTTGTATTTCCTCTCTGTAAATCTGCCTTTTCAATAAAAATAAATAAATCTTAAAAAAAAAACCCTGGGCCCGGCGCGGTGGCGCAAGTGGTTAAGGTCCTTGCCTTGCATGCCCGGGATCCCATATGGGTGCCGGTTCTAATCCCGGCAGCCCCGCTTCCCTTCCAGCTCCCTGCCTGTGGCCTGGGAAAGCAGTCGAGGACAGCCCAAAGCTTTGGGACCCTGCACCCGCGTGGGAGATCTGGAAGAGGCTCCTGGCTTCGGATCGGCATAGCACTGACCTTTGTGCTCACTTGGGGAGTGAATCATTGGACGGAAGATCTTCCTCTCTGTCTCTCCTCTCTGTATATCTGCCTTTCCAATGAAAAAATAATAAAAATAAATCTTTAAAAAAAAAAAAACCCTGATATCGAAGCCTGGTTATGGGTCTAGTGCCAACAAAGGCTGGATGGATCCTGAAGAGGACTGCTCATCGTTGTGAGGCAAATCTTCTACTCCAGGAGAGATCATGACAGATTTTATGTCAGGGAAGGCTAGTCCTCTCCAACACGTGCGGACCTGAGGTATCCATTGGTCATGGAGGTTCAGAAATGGGAATTGAAGATTTTCAGCTCTGGGTCAGGTCAGATGCCCCTGTTTCAAGTTTTAGGGTCCTACCCCTTCCCAATCACATGGCAGACTCGTGTGTGAATCTACAAATTCAACTGATCAAATTCTGTAACATGCACCATTTTCATCAGCAAGCCAGGATGGTGACCACAAGAAATAAGAGATTCTTTTATGCCCATCCTCAGAGTTCTTGAGTTCTCTAGTCACAATCTGAGCTCAGGGCTTAGAGACCTTAGTTTGTTATTTCTGAAAGGACTGAGGCCCAGAAGGGCCTGTCTCCAACCATATTCCCATAGTCACAATAAATGCTGGAGGAGTCAAGTGCAGCTACCGCTTGGCCCTCCAAGGCATCCACTTTAGTTGGCACTTCATCACACAAAGCCACAGGTGACAATTTGATTCCGCATTATGCCCCAGCATACCACGGGTTCATAACACTGCATTACACATTGCCAGAGTTGTTAGCAGTCAAACCCACTGACACCAGGAAGCCAGTTCCCTAATCTCACTTATTTTTTGTGGCTGTTTCTGCACACACACCCCTGCCCCAGTAATTTCTACATCATCCAATCAGTGAGATGGAACTCACAATAACCCTTTGCAGAGAGAATTTGACATGAAGAATGGTCAGGATGCTTAACGAGGCTTAAAGGTGTTAACTAGATAATTACAAGGATTCAAAAACAAACCCCAAGGGTATCCTGGAAGTGGCAACAGCCTCTGTAACTAACAAGACTGGGAGAGCCAAAGGAACACTTTGCAATTCTAGAATGAAGAAAACTGGAAGGGCCTGCAGAGCTAACACTCAGGCCTCTAAGCCTGGGCTGTGGGGAGCGGGGTGCTGCTGCTGCTTTATGAAGGAAGGAGTAACTTTTAGGTGCCTCCCACAGGAACAGGAAACAAACAGGATCCAGTCCCTTCTTCCTCTGGCCACACTATCCCCCTCTAGTGGCCAAAGGCGAGCATACAGGCAATAGAGTGCATTTGCACTTGTCACAGCTCCAGTATCTGATAAAGCAAGAAGGGGCAGAGAGGGAGGGCTGGGGGTGAGACGGTAACTAGCGCAGAGATCTCTATTGAGCATTTCAAGAGAGAGTTGAGCTGCGGTGAGAATTACGTGGCTGCAGAGTCACAAAGGGAGTCAAGGCCAGGGATTGTGTAGCCTTTCAGGAATGGAAACACGGGGCCAGCTCTAGACCACAGCGAATACAAGGCTGAAAAGTCTGAACATGGGTGCTGGAAGACAGTCATGCCTAAGTCAGCCATCATGTGAAGAGTGTGGTTCTCTCACCAGCTCCCAGGTAGCCCCAGTGTGCTGAGCCTTAGACAAGGCATGAGGTCACTAACACATCAGCTGGAGGACTTTATCTGGGAAGGAGATGGAGTCTCATGTGGGTCTGATTAGAAGCAAACAGAAGAAATCTCTTGTGATGATTGATTTCATGTGTCGACTGGACCCAGGACCCAGATACTTGCTTAAATGCTATGAACAAGTTTCTGTGATGGTATTCCTTCAGATGAGATCAACAATCAGGAGATTTCTGAGTAAGGAGGATTACCCACAATAGTGTGGGTGGGCCTCGTCCAATCCATTGAAGGCCTGAACAGAAGTAAGGCTGACCTCTCAAAGGAGAGGGATTCTGCCAATAAGTGAGTTTTGGACTAAAAAATGTACGTCAGCTCTTCCGTATGTCTCCGGCTACTGTCCTCCCCTGCAGTTTGCCTTTCCCAGACAGCTTCATATACTGCATTTCCTTATCACACATGCCCCAGGTTCGTAGCACTGCATGGCACACTGCCGAGTCAGCAGAAAAAGGAAGACACTTAAATAGCCTTGTACGCATGGATTTCCATGTGGGAGCCTATTAATGCACTCATCTTTTAATTCAATTTGCCACACATTTTTTTTTTCAGTCTACTTACTGTGAATGTATGCTTCCATATGGATCTCAAACAGAATCTCCAGGGATCCCAGATAGCCACAAGAGGCGCAGAGTGGGCAGTTTCATACTTCTTGATTTCAAAACAATGTGCCACTGGCATATGGACAGAAAGACCAAGGGTAAAACAGAGAGCCCAGAACAGCACTATTTGTAATAACCACAAGGTGGAAGCAACCCAAGTGTCCCTGGAGAGACGAACAGGCAGACAGCTACAATGGACAGCTACTCAACCTTAAACAGGGAATTCTGGTCCAAGTGGCAGCATCGATGAACCTTACAGACCTTGCACTAAGTGCCTTGAGCCGGGCACAAAGGAATATTATGACGCCACTTGCATGACGTATTAGGGTTCTACAGAGAGCAGATAGTACAAAGGGGAATTCATTATGGGAACTGACTCATGTCATTATGGCAGGTGGGAAACCCCATGGTAGGTAGTCTGCCAGCTGGAAAAGCTGTGATGCCAGGAATACATCTCGGTCGAAGCCCAACAGTCTCAGAATTAGAGCAGCCAAGAGAGTCTTGGTTCAAGGCCAAAAGCCTGAGAGCCAGCAAGGGGACCCTAGGTCTAAGTCCTGCAGTCCAGAGGCCACCAACTGATGAGCAAGCCTGGCTGAGTTCCCAGACTGACAGACAAGCTGGCCCTCCACGTGTGGTTTCTCAGTAGCCCCTGCCAACTCTGGGTGCCACTCTCCATGAGGTCATGTTTTCCCACCTGGTCTGCTCAGATGCACCAGCAATCTCACCCGGAAACAGCCTTGCAGACACATCCAAAATAACACTTGTCCAGGGGCACCAGACCATCACCTGTGAGGTCTCTAGCACAGTCACCTTGGTCGAGATGAAACGTTCTAGAGATGGAGAGTGGTTATGTTCACGCAACAGCATGGGCATGCTTAGTGCCACTGAAGAGTATACTGTTTTTCCTTTTTTTTTTTTTTAAGATTTATTTCTATATTTTATTGGAAAGTCAGATATACAGAGAGGAGGAGAGACAGAGAGGAAGATCTTCCATTTGCTGATTCACTCCCCAAGTGGTCGCAATGGCTGGAGCTAAGCCACTCCGAAGCAAGGAGCCAGGAACTTCTTTAGGGTCTCCTACATGGGTGCAGGGCATAGGGTCCCAGGCCTTGGGCCGTCCCCAACTGCCTTCCCAGACCACAAGCAGGGAGCTGGATGGGTTGCTGGGATTAGAACCAGCGACCATATGGGATCCCAGTGTGTGCAAGGCGAGGACATCATAGCCTTTAAGGCTACCGCACCAGGCCCTGAAATGTATACTGTTAAACTGAAAGTAATTGAAGGTACTTTAGCATGGACACATGCAGCCTTTTAGACTCCTGTGCTTTCTGCAGCAGGGGACAGCTGAGCTTTCTTCATGCAGGCTATCCTCCCCAAGGCCCTTCTCAGATGTGGCCCTGAACAGCAGCAGAGCGAGCCCCGGGGAACGAGACACAAGGGCTCTGTGACACTGACCATGGGAAAACATGAAGACTGCCCCGGCCCTTGGACTGGTCCCCGATTTCCTTTGCTGAAAGCCAGAACTGTGCCTATCCTTTCCTTCCTCTACCAGCAAATGCTGGGCGTTTGTAAAGCTCAGCGAGCTTGCTTTCTGGTCACAATCACCATGAGAAACCCTGCTGCAGCTGACCGAGACACTGGGCTGACTACAGAGATTGGGGGGCGGGGCTGTTTCCCTGGGGAGGAGTGGTGTGCTCTGAGAAACAGGTGTTTGGCTCAGAGAGGCAAACGGGAACACACACCAACCATGTTCTTGCCTTCTTGGTCCCACAGCCACACTTTACTTCCTAATAGAGCTGCTAGATTCGGCAAAAATACAGGCCAGGAGAGAGGGCATTGTAGCACATCTGGTTGAACTGCTGCCTGCAATACTGGCATCTTGGGAGTCCTGGCTGCTCCACTTCCAATCCAACACCCTGAGAAGGTAGCAGAGGATGGCCAAGAGTTTGGGCCTCTGTCACCCACGTGGGAGACGGAAGCTCCTGGCTTCAGCCTGGCCCAGCCCTGGTCATTGCAGCCATTTGGAGAGTGAACCAGTGATGTCTCTCCTTTTCTCCCTCTAAAACTGCCTTTCAAATAAAAACATTTAAAAGTAAAAAATAAACAGTGCTCGCTTCGGCAACACACACAAAAAAGTAAAATAAATCATTGCATGGAGATACAAATATATATAGTTTTAAGTCTGCACATGCTCAGTACAGATTTAACCTTTTTCTTCCAGTATTTTTGGTTCACAGTCAGGTGAATGCACAGGCGGGAGCTCAAGGATACAGAGGCTTGGAGATTCGGTGTCGGGCTCCAGCTTGCAGAGCCGGTACACAGGGGAGCTGTGTGTGTGGGCTGGGCTCAAACACAAGGTCTCCCACTGGTGACATCTCAGTTCCACCCGGACTGAACTCGGCCTCCTGTACTATGACCTGCCTTCTAGGCCCGCTCTCTAACTGCCTGACCTTCAAAGCCAAGCTCCACATCAGGTTAGCGCAGGGACCCCCAGCCTGTGGGTTTCCAGTCACCACTTGTCCCATGACTTATCTTTCCTTAAGTGTCTAAGAAAAAAGTTTTTATGACAAGACTTTCAAGCAGAGAAGTATGGAGCAAGTTTATGTGTTGTTTTACTCCCTGGACTTACGCTTCTCTTCCTGGACTCCTGTCCCTGTGCATCTGCTAGCAGCTTGGAGACGGCATCAGCCCCCTACAATAGGTACCCATAACCGACTACTGAGAAAATCATCTCTGAATGCCTTGAGCCTGTTCACACACTGCACTTTCAGACGAAGGTGAGAGTCTGTTCAAAAAAAGAGGGACTTATTATTTTTTTTCCCCCAGGGGAACTGGTAAAGGCATGTCAGACACCCCGTCTCCTCCCACCTCCATTACGGAACAAAAAGCTTACTTGGCAGGTACCCGGAGCGTCTGGTTTCTGTTTAGCAGGGTCCCAGAAGGAAATGACTTTTCTCTGAAATTGTAGACGCCCAACCCAGCTGTGGCATTGTTAGACCTCAGGGTAAACAGGAAGCTTCCGGCCTCCGGCCCTTCACCTCCCTCTCCCAGACTATTGCAGATGGTAAAAGGGATGGTAAAAGGACAGCTGCTGGCCATAAAATCAGCCAGCTCCTTAGATCCCTAGAGAACAGCAACCAGATCTCCAAGGTTAAAGGAAACCGGGTCCTCCTGGGGTCGGACCAGGTGCGACCACCTAGCCAGGGTCCTGGTGGAGGGCTCTCAGGCCTTGTGGTCACTTGTTTTGGTGGCTGAGACCTAGTGTGAAGGCTACACTGGGACTACATGACTGGATCTGAGTCATCTCTTCTGGTAGAGGGATGAATGTCTTGATTTGTGTCCCAAACCAGGCAGAGCAGCCTTTGATGACAGAGGACCTCACGGCTGTTCTGAAGAGCTGGAACGCACCCCAACACGTCTGCACGTGATTGAGGGGGAGCAGGGAGGAAATCCCAGGACTTGCAGCTGTTGCTGAGGGAGGGAGGGATGGCTGCCAGCAGGAGGACACTAGGGCAGGGGTGATCAGCTTTTGCCAACAAGGGCACTTAGTGTCTTGGCAGGAGGCAGAGGGCTGCCCTGCGTGTATGTTTTTGGAAGCATTTGACTCTGGACCAAACTCTCAGCTGGGCTGGTGCTGCGGGGAGAGATGGAGATGCTGGCTGGCTGAGCTGACCACACTCTCCCACAGAGGGTGCTGGGGCTCAGCCAGGAGCTTCCCTTTTGCTGGCAGGTTTCGCTTTCTGTCATGCTTGATCGGAGGGAGTGTGTCAAAATTCCAATTCTCAGGGTTTCCCAGAAGCTGCTCATGACTGCCCATCTGTTTGGGAGAGCTTCTACTTATTGGCATTTCTGGCTCAACGGGAATGGGAGATGATGAGACAGAGCCAAACTCTAAATGTGGCTCCAGGAATGGACAGAAACAGCTCAAAGGGCCATTGGCCTTCCTTCATATTCAGTGACGTGTTCATCACCACAGGGGCCAGCACGCAGGCAGAGACTTCCCTGCCTTATTGACCCGCGCTGCCCACTGCCGGCTCCTCCAGGCAAGCAAGGCTCTCTGGGTGGCAGGAAAAGCGTGGCCTCTGGGTAACTTAGGCAGGACAGGGAGCCTTATGGTGAGGGGTCCCTGCCTTCTCCCCTCCAAGGACAGATCACTGAAGTTACTCATGGGGTGGAGGAGTTTTTTTCCTAACTGCCAAAAGCAGAACTGGAGACATTTCCTCTAATACCACGTGTTTAAACCTCCCCCAAGGTATTTAGGCTTGGGTCATTCTGCTATTAAAAGCAGCTCGCTCTGAAAATCTTAGCGCTGAAAGGGAACTACAAAGACTGCACAGTTCAGCCCTGGCTGCCAGTAACAGCATCATTTCATTAAACACCCACCTTGTCCTCCCTGGTTTTAGTTTCTCAACACGGTCCTTGGGTCACACAGCCACACGCTGGGGCTCCTGCAGCATCTTATTCATCCTTTTTTGTCTTCATAAAACCTTTTCCTATCAATAAGTACATAATTCATGGACAAAATTCATCAGAGACATCCAGAAAAGATGGTTCCTCTGTATTAAGGCCAAGCCGGAGTTTGGACATATAGGCCCATCAGCTAGAGCTTTGGGTGGAATCTACACTTGTGCATCCACAGGGACTGGCAGCAGCCATGAACTGTCTGTCATGCTGGTTGGCTGGACAGGCTCAGGTATGCTTTAAACCTGCAACATGGCGTCTTCACATAGAGCCGAAACGGCCCTTCCTCTGTAATACGTCTTGGCCAGGACCAGAAGGGCTCTCTGTGACACACTCCTCGAACTCCCATGCAGCCATCAGGGAACAAGAGGGGTCCTAAGGGACTGCAGGCAGCGCCCATACTCTCCCTTTACTTCCACACCTCTGCATTAAGCCTCCAGCTCATCCCTTCAGACACCAGGTCATGTCCAAGGCAGGAAGTTGCAATGAAGGAGTAGTCCCAGGAGCCAGTAAATCAGAAAGTAGCCTAGAATGCATCGGGTGACTGGAGAACAGGTTTTCCAGTTGTACAAAAGTCCCATGATACAATTTCTGGGGACTGTCTGTCGCAGTGGGAAGTCCCCTGCAAGAGGCCTCTCAGGCGTGGTCTCCAGGGTTCTCAACAGCGTCTCCCGACTCTGCAGCAAGTGTGCCGGAAACCAGTAGACGATAGGAGTGGAGGAGCCCAAGAACCTTGTGAGAACCTAGAAAGCACAAGGAGGGGAAGGCCCCAGGTTTACTACCAGGTCACTGACTCAAACTGGCCCAGCTTGAGTTTATGCTGGGAAAGCTGTTCAGCAGAGCTTATGACCTGCCTTACACAGGTGTGACAACAGCCAGGCCACCGCCACACTACAAACACGGCTCTGGACTCACTGCCAAAATAAGCCAATCAACACTAATAATTCCACCGGCTATTTTAGCCCAGGGCCTAGACTCAACCCTAGCTGTGACTTGGAGATTGGCAACATGAGGAAAGGGGAGGTAGGGACCCTAAGATTTCAACACTTTCCCTGCTAGGGGAGCCCAGAGTCAAGTCTCCAAAACAGCCCCCTCAGCCAGCTTGACAGACACTCTGGCAGCTAATCCATCTCACCCCACAGCATGTTAACTCCCCAGTCCCCTGTGCCTCTCACGCACCCTGCCAGAGAGCACCCTGCCAGAGAACGTCACAAAGTATTGTGTGCACGCACCTGCAGGAGGAAGAAAGTGCGACAGAGAGGTCAGCAGGGGGGCACAGGACTCCCTCAGGGTGAGACTGAAACTGGAGCCACAGCCCAGAACAGGATGTCACACATGAGATCAAACTCCCCACTCCGCCATCACCACAACCACCCCAAGACCCAGACACGTGCTTGAACACTGGGCACCTGCCTGGGCTCAGGATCCCTCCAGAAGTCAACAGTCAGGACACCCACGTGGGGGCAACGACACCCCACGGCAGGCGCCAGAGACGGCCTGCTGCAGCTCAAGTCTCAGTGGCAGCAGACTCTTCACTCACTCTCGTATCTTTGCCCTTCCATTGCTGGAATGTTCTTCCTCTGCCATGTAACTCTGGGCCTTACACGGAAAATTCCTACCTGCTCTTCAGGTCACAGCTAAGGCGCCTTCCTCAACTCCCCCAGTGAGTTCACCAAGGCTTCCTCTTTTCTTTCACAATATTTTTTTTTTCCACTCTCAAAACAGCAATCCCTTTCCCTTCTGTCCCTAATGTTATCTGTTAAATGTCTCCCTCTATTTACCATAAGATCCACTAGAGCAGAACTTTTCTTATTCCTGTTCCATCTGGCACAAAGACTCCCTGGCCCTGCCCCCAGCAAATACTGTGTGAAAAAGTCATGGACAGGTCACTCAGGTGAGTGGCTTCAGCCATCTTTCCCGTCCTCAGCCGGGGCTCTGCCTGGAGTCATCCCCTCCCTGGCCGGGATGCCGGCTCACCTGAACGTGCATGCAGAGCCCTCCGAACAGCGACAGCACGGCCGCGTGCACGAGGTAGACAAACACTTGAGGACTGAGGAATCCAGGCGCCGGCTTCTCCAGAGCCTCATTCTTGCTCCTTCGAAGGCCCAGTGTAAGGCAGAGCCAAGGGTGGGTGGTCACATACGTCCAAGTTGCCCAGGTGACCAGGATGGCCACTGGGGCAGCCAGTAGAAAATTAGGCAGTTGCTTGAGTTCGTAGTACCTCAGAAAGCCAACATTCCAGTAGACATCCTGGATGTAGTTGTAGATCAGGGGGAGGGCCCAGGAACACCAAGGCGGCTCCCTTCCCCCAGCAACCCGATAGCCCTTGTCCACTGCTAACTGCACCAAGGCCTTGGGAATGGGGAGGCTTGTGCCCTGCACACAGAACCGGCTGTAGGCGTAATACTGAAAGAGCACAAAGGGAAGGCTGAGTGCGAGCACCGACAGGCACACAGAGGTCATCAGCTTCCAGAGCGGTCTCAGGGGACTCCGCACTCCAAGAGCAGAAAAGAAGCCTCGACACTGAGCGTGCAGCAGGAAGCCAACATTGACTAGCCCGTTGGAGCGTGCACCGGTGGCCAGAGCAAAGAGGAGCCCACTCATCCAGACTCGGCCCCTCTCTAGCTGCCCCAGGGCACTGAAAGTCAGAAAGGCGAATAGAGCTTCCGAGTAGCCGGCTGCCAGGAACACATTGGCGGGGCTCAGGCAGAAGAGCAGCGCAGCGTAGAAGGCCTGGCGGGGACAGTGCAGAACCAGACAGCCCAGGTCATGCAGCGCGAGCGTGGCCAGCACAGAGAACAAGGAATTGAGCAACGCGACTGAAATCAGTAGGCAACTTCTCAGGCTCAGGAACCCCCGCAAGGGTCTCAACACCTCGGTCCCCACCAGCAGCGCCAAGGGGAAACCTGGGAAGAAGGCGAAGTTGTGCTCGTAGAGGTAGCCATGCTCAGCAATGAACAGGAAGTGCTCAGCATCCCAGCGAGACAGGCCGCCCAGGAGAACCTCCACGGCCTGGTCCGCACAGCCTGAGGGGGCCAGGCGGGGAGGAGAGAAGGCTTCCGCGTGATGATCCGGGATGATGGCATTGAAGACAGCCTGGGGAGTGGAGCAGAAAGAGCAAGGGCTTTACTGGAAAGAAAATAATAATTATCATGTAACAAAATATGGAGGAACAGACTTAAGAGTGGGAATGCGAAGCAGAGTTTGCATTAGTTGGATCTGAGTAGTCCGATGCTGTGTGGACAGTGGAAGGCAGGAGCCTGCGGGTCAGAAGAGATTTTGAGTTGGAGATGTAAGTTTTGGAGTCATAAGTGCATGGATAGAATTAATTAATTTGTAAGGCAGAGTAATTAAGAAAGAGAGAAATCTTCCATCTGCTGGTTCACTCCCAGCCATAACAACCAGGCTGAAGCCAGCAGTGTGGAACTCCATCTGGGTCTTCCTTGTAGGTGGCAGGGACTCGAGCACTTGGGCTGTCACCTGCTGTTTCCCAGGCACGCTAGCGGGGAGCTGGATGGGAACAGTGCAGCTGTTTCTAGCACTCCAGTATAGGATGCTGTGGTGCTGGAAGACACACTGGGTGCCCGGAGAGCGCTTAAGGGCATGAGACTGAGACTCAGACGAGAGATCTGAGAACTGTGCCGTGGACATGCCAACGCTCTCAGGCTACAAGGAGGGTGAGCATCCACCAGGGAAAGCAAAGGAAGTCGGTGTGGAGGCAGAAGCCCAGGAGAGCAGCCGGGTAAAGCATGGGGCGAACAACACGGTGAGGAGCATGGTTACTGAAAATGTAACACTGGATTTAGAAGGTGGCTGGTGAACTGGACAAGAGCATTCAGTGGGATGAGGAGGCCTCCACGCGATGGGGTTCCTCCCTAGGCGGGGTACAACGACACGGAGGGAAAACGGGAGATAATACATGCAAACCACTCTGAGGAGTTTTGCTGTAAAGGAGAGCAGAAGAATGGAGTCAAGAGAAATTTTGTCTTTTTTTTTTTCTCTAAAGATTTATTTATTTTTATTGGAAAGTAAGATATACAGAGAGGAGGAGAGACCAGAGAGGAAGATCTTCCATCCAATGATTCACTCCCCCAGTGGTGGCAATGGCTGGTGCTGTGCCGATCAGAAGCTAGGAGCCAGGAGCTTCTTTTGGGTCCCCCTGCCAAGGCTTTGGGCCATCTTCGACTGCTTTCCCGGGCCACAAGCAAGGAGCTGGATGGGAAGCAGAGCAGCTGGGATATGAACCAGTGCCCTGCAAGGACTTTAGGCGAGGATTTTAGCCACTAGGCTACCGCACCAGGCCCCAACCAAATAACTCTCAAAAAAAGAAAGAAAGCAAGCTGACATCAAGTGCTGCCGAAGACAGATGGTACATCCCACTCCAGCAGAAGAGGCTCTGCTCAGAGGCACAGAGCATGGTGGGAGGAAACAAAGTCTCTTCCAACACTTTCCATTTTTTCTGAGTTTTCATTTGGGAAACTAAGTTTTCAGTTAAGTGAGTAACCAGGGAAAGTTGTTCCAAATTTGAGGAAGTGCAGAAGGGGTAAAACAAGTTACCTTGCTTCCGCAAATAGACTGTGTACTGGAATGACGGGGGAGGGGCAGGTGGTGCTAAAAAATACCCATGTCTGAGTCCCTTCCCCAGAGATAATGCTTTCAAGGGGCTGGGGTACAGCCAGACTGCAAACAGCACTGGCAGTGTTTCAAAAGCTCCCTTGCTCCGTTGGTTCTGATGTGCAGAAAAACTGGGGAGAATGAGAGGCCTGATGGACCAGAAATGTGGTAAGGCTGCCCGGTAGCACTTGGCTTAGTGATCCTGAATGAAACAGATTAGCTGGCACAGCTGTGTTTTGCTCTGGGCAGATGCAGACAAAGGGAAGGGGGATCACTGGATTTAAGCGAGGCCAGGCCTTTGTACTGTGCGTAAGGTACAGGAAGGGGGATCCAGAGAGGGGAGCCCTCATGCACGGCAACGGGGCAGGCCGTGGCGGGTGGAGGGCGCTGAGGCCGTGCAGCCGGGGAGGGATGGGGAAATGGCGGCAGGATCAACGGGCTATCACCCCTGAGAAGGTGGAAGAATACTGCCCCGTAGGGTACCGCAGACAGCGAGCTGAAAACTAAGAGTAGTCAGAGACTGTGATGCTTAAAATGGAGACGAGCAACGCCGGCAGCCCACAGTTAAATCCTGGTTAGAGTCCTACTGATGGGCATGGGAAGGCAGTGCACACGGCCCAAGTGCCCGGGCCCTCTCACCCGCGTGGGAGACCTGTACGGAGTTCCCAGCTGCTGGCTTCGCCCTGGCTCAGACCTGGCTGTTGTAGCCAATTGTAGAGTGAACCAGCACATGGAAGATGTCTGCCTATCCCACTCTGCCACGCTATCTTTCAAATAAATGAATCTTTTTTAAAAATTGAGATTTGGACCCAGTGCAGTGGTCTAGCAGCTAAAGTCTTCACCTTGAACATGCTGGGATCCCATATGGGAACTGGTTCAAATCCTAGCAGCCCTGCTTCCCATCCAACTCCCTGCTTGTGGCCTGGGAAAGCAGTCGAGTGCGGCCCAAAGCCTTGGGACCCTGCACCCGCGTGAGAGACCTAGAAAAAGTTCCTGGCTCCTGGCTTCAGATCGGCGCAGCTTTGTCCATTGTGGTCACTTGGGGAGTGAATCATCGGACAGATCTTTTTCTGTCTTTTTTCCTCTCTGTATATCTGACTTTGCAAGACAAAAAATAATAATAAATCTTTTAAAAAATTGAATTTGAGAGGAGGTGGGAGAACAGCGTATGAAGAAGACAAGAACGCAAGGGGGCTGGTGCAATGGCTCAACTGGCAAATCTTTCACCTTCAAGTGTTGGCATCTCATGTAGGTGCCAGTTTGTTCCTGGCTGCTCCACCACTTCCCATCCAGCTCCCTGCTTGTGGCCTGGGAAAGCAGTCAAGGACGGCCCAAGTCCTTGGGACCCTGCACCCACGTAGGAGACCCGGAAGAAACTCGAAGCTACTGGCTCTTGGCTCCGGCTTGGCTTAGTTCCATTTTGGGAGTGAACTGGTGCATGGAAGATCTTTCTTTGTGTCTCTCCTCTCTGCAAATCTCATCTGTCTTTCCAATAAAAATAAATAAATCTTTTTTTTTTTTAATTTTCCACTTAAAGCTGGGAATCGGGTGAAAGTAAAATAGCTTCCTACTCAATACATGTCTACCTTTGTGTTCCACTAGGTTGTGAGCTACTTAAGGCGCTAGACCACCTGGCACAATCTTTAGACCATTACGGGTAATTAAAACCCTGGTGGCTGGGCAAGTACACTGTGCCAATACCACCATCCGAGTGCGAACCCAGCTGTCCTGGCTCCTCCCGGAAGCTGATCTACAGGCCTGGCTCTGTGGGTCAGAGCCACCACCAAGCCAGTCTCCGAGGCCTGGCAACGGGGGCACATTTCTGAGGCTTCTCTTTTCGGTCGGTTTCTTTATCAGGCCACTTCAAACAGCGCAACCAAACGCGACAGTAGTGACAGTCACAGATGCCAGTCACAGATAACACCCCCAGCTCCAACTGGAGGACACTTTGAACTAAACCTGGAACCCAGAAAAACGTTCTGAGCCTCATATTGTGGTGAGGGCAGAGGGAGCGAGGAAAGGAGCTTTCCATAGAAGGACCAGCTACAAGCTGCAGAAAAGAAACCTGGTAACAGAGGGCACATGCAGTTACCCCCGTGCAACACCCCTGCCAACACGAGGCAAACAGGGCATGAAGAGGATCCTTCAAAGATTCCTGCTTGCTTTCCAACTAACAAGTCTGGGTCTCCATGATGCCAAGCATGGTGAGGCACACCTGGGAGGTAGAGGCAGGAGGAAGGAAGGAGACGGGGACTACTCTTAGCCTGGCCCAGCCATGCAGCCACAGCATCAGGATCAGGACACGGCTTCTGAGCTCTAGCGTGGGCTCAGAGACTGACCTGCAACACCAGAGTCAGGACACGGCAGTGGACAGCAAACCTCAGCACCTCTCTCCGGGACGGGTCCAAGGGCCACATCCTCCTGTTCGCTACCAGGAATCCAGGCGAACAGCTACCGGCCTCCAGCTCCCGCAGGCTCCCAAACTCTGAAACCCAAGAAAGAAAACATCACACAGGGCCCAATGCAGAGCGTCGACGGGATGCCTCACGGGAGCCTCCCCGTGCGCTAACTGCAGCAGAGCTAAGCATGGAACTGCCCAGGCAACGTGACAACATCCTGCAGGTGGATGGAACTGCCGAGTGTCTCACTCAATCACAATAACATTAGAAAAGTTCCACACAAGGCGTGCAGCTCCAATGCCAAACTTCTCCACAAGATTGCTGAGAGCCCCTAAGGAGGAACTAGAGCACTTGCTTCCAGCCCTGACTATGTCACCAGCCAGTTCTTGTTTCCTGAGCCAGTTATTTACGCATCCAATGGGATCACACTATCTTTTCTGCCAGTTTCTCAAACTGTTATGCCGATGAAATGGACTAAAGTGGGAAGGGCTAACCCATCCAGGATGCAGTGGCTATTATTTGGCATGTGCCCCTTCCCTCATGCCCAGAATAATAAACTACCTCCCAAACCAGAATCCCAGAAGTCGGGCACAGGAGCGTTCTGGAAGACCATAATGACTGCACAGTCCGGCTCAGTGCTCTGATGTGTGTTCAGCTGGTTTATAAAACTAAGTGGAGAAGGAAAAGCAAGCCACGACGCACAGGCCTCAGCCAGCTCTCACAGCTCTAACCAACCTAGGCTAAGACCAGGGCCACTACTAGAGGGAGAAATCCTCCCTCCTGCCTCTCTGTGGTCATGGCAGCAATGCGTAAACAATGGCAAAGCTACCCTGAGGCAAGGAATGAACTTTTAAGACATTTTAAAACAATTCCTTGAAGAAATGGCAATAATTCCTCCAGAACTTCCAAATGCAGGCTTGGGGAATGAGAACAGAGGCCAGCAACACCACAAACAGCTCACTGACTTGAGATGAAGAACTACACTCAAGAGGAAAAACTACCCAGGTGCCAGCATCTGTGGCCGCGGATGGTGACACCAGCTCTCCATGGTGAAGTCCTGGCTGTTCCATTTGCATCTAGCTCCCTGCCGATTCTCCTGTGGAAGCCGCAGCAGTTGACCCAAGTACTTGGGCCCTCCACCACACGTGGAGGACACAGAAACTGCCCTGAGCTCCTGACTTCCATCTGGCCCAGTCCTGCTGTTAAGTCCATCAGGGGAGTAAACCAGTAGATAGAAGCACTCTTTGTTTCTCTATAATCCTGCCTTTCAAATAAATAAATCTTGAAAACAAACAAACAAACTTCAGCGCCCAGTGTGATGGCTCAACGGCTAAATCCTCACCTTGCAAGCACCAGGACCCAGTGTTTGTGTCCAGGCTGCTCAACTTCCCATCCAGCAACCTGCCTGTGGCCTGGGAAAGCAGTCGAAGACGACCCAAAGCCTTGGGACCCTGCACTCAAGAAGCTCCTGGCTTCATGTCAGCTCAGTTCCAGCCATTGTGGCCATTTGGAGAGTGAATCAGCACATGGAAGATATTTCTTTCCATCTCTCCATAATCTGACCTGCCTTTCCAATAATCTTTTAAAAAAGTTAAAAGTTAACAAGAGCTACAAAACTTTTCCTTCAGCTCTAACTTGTTTGTGCAATTCTCTGCTTCTCCCTAGACTAGGTGCTAGGCTCTGGCTGCCCTTTGCCTGGCTGTCTGTATTACTAGTGCTCGTTTAAGTGCTTTGGGAGGGCAGGGCTAGAAGCCTGTGTTCTACACAAGCAGCAGAGACAGGACAGGGCATCACAAGTTCACCACATTGACATACCAAATCACTGCTGCAAGTATTCCTCCCCAACATCCTAAGAGCAACAGTACTCCCTCCTTGGCACAAGAGGGCGCCCACGGCCCACTCCAGCACCGGAGGCCTGAAGGAAGGGAGGGGCCGCCGACTGCACCCCGGTTTGAGAGCCCCCGAGAGCAGCGGCAGCATGTTATCTAGCCATCATGTCCAACATCGGACTTGCTGAGAGAAACCCCTGCAAACAGCCACGCTTAACTTTGCACAGCTGCTGCTGCCCTTTTTCCTGGTGCACTTTCGATTCCTGGGGTTCCCACCCACATGCAGAAAAGAAGTTGGGCACAAAAAAAAAAAAAAAAGCACTTAACCCACCTCTGCTTCTGGACCGGACTTGGCATTCTTCCTCTCCCCAGGCTCAAGCTGCGGCCTCAGTGACCACAGGCTTGGTTTGTAGCGCCCCACCCCTTAACTTACAGGGGAACCAAGGAAAAACAAAAGAAAACTTGTCAACAACCCAGGCTCTTTGACGGACTGGTTTCACTTTTATAGATCTCTTAGACACGGTGAGGCCAGCATAATTGCCATCGCCATTTTATGGATTTGAAAACTGAGGCTCACAGGAGTCGAGTGACACACCCGAGGGTCCTTAAACGGTGTGAAGGGGGGTTTGCTTCTGGAAACCTCACAGTGCCTGTCCTCACTGGCGACCAGAGGGGATGCGACCCGTCCACATCAGGCCTACAGCCCAGGCCCCCCAATGCCTAGCCCAACGATCTGGCTGCGGACGCTCAGTGTAGGCGGCCCTAACTCAGAATCTGGGACAGCCAGCAGCACTGGAGGCCCGGGCTCTCGGGGGGGGAAACGAACGAGCTTTGCGGGTGAAGTCGCTCGCGCCTGGGTCCTCGGGGCCAGAGGCCTTCGCGGGCAGAAACCAGTCAGAGCCGCCGTCTGACAGCCCTGTGGTGTGGGAAGCTCGTTCTAGCTTGCTCCTTCCAGACACCAGCCCTACCGGACACCAGGCAAACCCCCCTCACGCCGAAGAAGCCAAAGCCCTCGGGGAAGCTGCTCCCGTGGGAGCCCGCCGAACCCCGGCAGGCAACAGAGCCGGAAGCAGGCGAGGGCGCGGGACTGGAAAAGGAAGAGGCGGCGCCGAAGGCCGCTATGGCGGAGGGGCGGGGCTCCCCGTTCCTCTGCGGCCGCACTCCCATTTTTCTCAGCCGTCGTGGACAGCTTGTCCTCCTCCCCGACCCCCGCTACAACTCCAGGGTCCACGAGCCGGCGCCCGGCACTCTGCATCAGCCGGTCTCCACTTTCCCCGTCAGGGCCTGGACCTCAGCTCCTTCATCCGGGAGGCCGAGCGATCCGCGCGTGCGCGCTGGCTCCACCGACGGCAGCCCCGCCCCGCTCCTGCCCGGACTCGAATTGCCCCCGCCCCCCTGCGAGGCGGCCATGTTGGCTCCGAGCGAGGCAGTCGGGGAGCGTGGCTCGGCGCCCCCGCGCCTCCTGGTGCAGCACCTTCCCGCCCTGGTGACACCTGAAGTTTCCTCTCGCAATCCCCCTCCCGCGCCTTCAACTTGTGCGCCCCGGCTATTGGCCCAGGGTCGATGTTCTCCAGTTCCGTTCCTCAACCGTTCACTGAGTTCCCATGTGGGCAGAGCCTCTTAGTTGGCTACCCTGTGTGCTCTTCCCAGAAGCCAGAGCCGCGCGTTTCCTGGCTGTCAGGCAACAACTCAGCACAGACCTCAGCACCCATGGGTGTCTTCGGGAATAGTGAAAGAAAAGCTTCTTGGGGGTTTGCGCAGCCAGCAGCGGTTCCCCGGGTTCTGGGCGTGAATTAAGTGTGTGTGTGTGTGTGTGTGTGTGTGTGTGTGTGTGTGTGTGTGTGTGTGTGTGTGTGTGTGTGTGTGTGTGTGTGTTGATGGGGCTTGTCTTGTGTGTGTGTGTGTGTGGTGATGGGGTTTTTTCCCTCCTCCCGCCGCCGGGACCTTCAGCTCTGCGTGGGTTGTCAGCCTACTTCAGGTGCCTAAGGAGCATGGCAGAGAAGCCTCAGAGACCCCCCCATCCTCACGCCCAGGACTTTTCTCCTCCCTTGCTCAAGCCTTGTCTCTCGAGGGAAGTGGGACCAAAAAAAGAAGAAGAAGAAAAAAAAAAAAAGCGAACTCAACAAAACCGCCTGTTAGGGAGGAGCAGCCAGTTGATACCCCTGTAACGGAAACTGTTAGAACGACTTTGCCCCCTCCCTAAAGGAAACAGATAATGAATCCTTTCCCGTTGGTGGATTTCTTGTTTCTCGGGATTCCAGAGCCTTCTGTGGTTTCAGTTATCTACCCTCCAAAACGAAAGCTGGGGTCTGGGCGAGCCTCTGGCCACACTGCTGGCTGAGGGAGGGGCTTATCTGGGGCCCCAGGGCCTCGTGTGGGCGGTAACCGAGAGCTCTCCCCCGGCTATCTCCGCAGGCAAAGAAACCCAGCCCTCCTCAGACCTGGGAGACCGAGGGGGTGGGGAGGGTCTGTCTTTTTCGGTTCTTCATAACTCATTTCGGGCCCTGACAACTAAACTGCCTTGGCATTTGTTTGGCGTGTAGGGTGGATTCAGTACAAGTCACGTGGTGGTCGTTGCACGTTGGGGTTCAGCAGGCCCTTTCCCCAGGCAAGGACTTGATCTGGGAGACCCAGGGAGGGGAGCGGGCAGAACCTGGGCTGGCGCCCGAGGCTGAGATTCCCAATGGAGTGGCCCCTGCCCTGTGCACTCACAAGGGGAAAAGACCCGCGTTCTCAGGGTTCTCCATGTCCACACCAAATTCCTTCCAAAATCTGTTTGTATAAAGGCCAGGAAGCTCTTGTAATAAGTCAGAATGTTTTCTAAAAGCTCAGCTGTCACGCTGCAGAGGGAGAACTTTGTCCGGCTTGCCAGCTCCACTTTCCTGCGATTCCTCCTTCCTTTTTCTCTGCTTCCCCACCCCCTCCGCTTCCGCTCTGTTTCCTGTTTCATTTTCTGGCTCCTGCTCCCCCAAGAACGCAAGGCAGTGGAATCTTTGGCTCGCAAAGCCCTAGCTGCTTGGCTCTTGGGATTTTTGAAGCCAGCTAGGTGCAGTAGTAGAGGTTCTGGGGCTCCAAGGCTGTGAGCACCCGCTGAAGGAAGCAGCTCCCAGATCTGCTTTTTATAGTCTGCAGCTATAATGAAGTTTGGATCGGCACAGGGAGCCCAAGAGCTGCCAGGACTGAAGCAAGCAGGTCAGTTCTCTAGCCCAGGGACCCAGAAAAGTACTCTTTCCCAGCCATTCCCATTCCCACCTTGCCTAGTCACCATTTTTGTAATACAAATTGCTAACCTGGGGCCAGCATGATGGCTCAGCTAGTTAATCCTCTACCTGCAAACTCGAGTATCCCATGTGGTCATTGGTTTGTGTACTGGCTGCTGTGGTTTAGGAAAGCAGCAGAGGATGGCCCAAAACCTTGGGACCCTGTACCCACATGGGAGACCCGGAAGAAGCTCCTGGCTTTGGCTTGGCTCAGCTCCAGTCATTTGGGGAGTAAACAGGATCTCTCTCTACTTCTCTCTGTAAATCTGCTTTCCCAATTTAAAAAATAAAATTTTTTATTTTTTAATATTGCTTACATAGTTGAGAGGGATGCATGCCCATGTAGGCCTCTGATTAGGGTGGGGAGGGTTTGGTATGGGGGTGGTGGGATACATGTTTCAGACTTTCTTTTCCTCTTGTGTTCAGAGGGGAGGAGGCAGAAAGGACAGCTCCTTGCTGTCAGATCACATCAGCACCCAGTGATGGGGAATGTCCACTTGATATCATCCTAAAATCTCTGATGTGGAGAAGAATGTTCCAAGGATACTGCTTAAGTGGTTTCAATAGTTCTAATACATTAATTTCATTGATCCATGGTTGAGGAAATCTTTCCAAGGTCCATTGGTTGACACAGTCCACCTTAGAGTCTCCACTTACTCAGATACTTGCTGTCAAAGCTTGGCCAGGAGAGTTGTCCAATCTGTTCTGCTTTCCATCCTCTGACATAGTACTTGATATTCTCCACAAGCCTCATGAACTGGCCATCACGGCCCCTGTGAGCATCTGGACACGCTGTCCACAGCATAGGCCTCAGCCACTGAGGAGACCCAGTCCCAGTGGATCTGACGCTCTTTCTCTGTAAATCTGTCTTTGCAATAAAATTAACAAATCAAAAACAAGACAAACTGCTAATTTAAGCAGTGTAGTAAGCATCATTACTTCTTTTTTTTAGATGTCGTATTAATATAATTAAAAGAGAAATCTTCCATCCACAATGGCCAGGGCCAGGCCAGGCTGAAGTGAGCACCTTGGGATCTGGTTCTCCTGTATGGGTGGCAGGGAACAGGAGCTATCACTGCTGTATTTCAGATGCATTCGCAGGGAGTTTGACTGGAAGAATAGGTGAAATTGGCCTGACTACTGTTGCCAAGTTACTTGCGTGGCCTAGCAGCTAAAGTCCTCACCTTGAACATGCCGGGATCCCATATGGGCGCTGATTCTAACCCTGGCAGCTTCACTTCCCTTCCAGCTCCCTGCTTGTGGCCTGGGAAAGCAGTTGAGGACAGCCCAAAGTCTTGGGACCCTGTACTCACATGGGAGACCTGGAAGAAGTTCCTGGCTCCTGGTTTCAGATCAGCACAGCACTGGCCGTTGCAGTCACTTGGGGAGTGAATCATTGGTCATAAGATCTTCTCAATCTCTCTTTCTCTCTGTGTATCTGCCTTTTCAATTAAAAAAAAAAAGTTACTTGTTTGCAACACTACTGCCAGACCACCCCCTGGCCACCTGGCTCTAGTAAAGTCTCAGCAAGGGTGGCCCCGCCCCAGAGAGGCTTTTCCTGACTGCTAGTGTCCCAGACACAACTGCAACCTGTCTTTTGCACTTAACAGCACCTACTTCTCCTGTGTATAGATGGTACTTGTTTCACTGTGTCTAGTTCCCTTTTCTAGAATCTAAGACGTGAGAGTGATGGAAGAAGCAGTGGCCTCATTCACCAGTATCTTCCCAGAGCTTTTTGTTTTTTTTTCAGGCTTCCCTTCCCCATGCAGCAGACAGATGTGAAGGAATGGGCTGCAGGGCAAGAAGAGCCAGGAAGAGAAGGGAAGGGCATTTTTTTTTCTTCCCCCCTCCCCCAGATTTATTTGTTTTTATTGGAATGGCAGATATACAGAGAGGAAGATCTTCTATCTGACGATTCACTCCTCAAGTGACCACAACAGCCGATGCTCCACCAATCTGAAGCCAGGAGCCAGGAATCTTTTTTAGGTCTTCTACGTAGGTACAGAGTCCCAAGGCTTTGGGCTATCCTCAGCTGCTTCCCCAGGCCACAAGCAAAGAGCTAGATGGGAAGAGGAGCTGCTGGGACTAGAACCAGAGCACATATGGGATCCCAGCACATTCAAGGTGAGGACTTCAGCTGCTATGCTATTGCGCCGGACCCATTCCCAGTGCCTTGTATATGGTGTCTTCATGAAAGGTCTGATACTAATTCAGTTTGCTTACTCTGATCTCTCTCTCTCTCTCTCTCTTTTTTTTTTTTTAAGATTTATTTTATTTTTATTGGAAAGTCAGATATACACTGAGGAGGAGGAGAAAGAAGAAGATCTTCCATCTGTTGATTCACTCCCCAAGTGGCTGCAATGGCTGGAGCTGAGCTGATCTGAAACCAGGAACCTGTAGCCTCTTCTGGGCTTCCCACGTGGGTGCAGGATCCAAGGCTCTGCACAGGAGTCTTAACTGCTTTCCCAGGCCACAAGCAGGGAGCTGGAAGGGAAGTGGGGCTGTTGGGATTAGAACCAGTGCCCATATAGGATCCTGGTGCTTGCAAGGCAAGGACTTTAGTCACTAAGCAGCAACGCCAGGTGCCAATCTCTCTCTTATGAATAAGAGATCTAAGGCTCATGAAGGAGAAGTGACCAGCCTGAAGTCACACAGCTGGTGGCAAAGATGAGACTTGGATTCAGACCCCCAAGCCTTCTGGACTGGCTCTTCCTACCACCTTGTTTTGATTTTCTCAAGATTTGCCTCTACTCCTCTCTCGCTTCTTTCCACATAGTTAAGAGTCTTGATGGACCGTGCTAAGGCTCCCGTGCAATGCACAGCACAGAATAACAGCACCTGTCTCCTCTTTTCTCTATCAAATGCCAGCCTTTCCTGTCTACAGGAATGCCACCATAGGATGGCATGAGGATGTCACACTGAACAAGGATGAGTCTGTACCCTCATGGGTCACCATACATACCTTCTTAGGTTTCAGGGCTCAGCTCCAAGAAGGGCTGTGGTAACACCTTGAGCAAAACTGGATGAGAACCGGCCCCTATATGGAATCCTGGCGCATTCAA